ATGTGGGTTGGGCCCTTGCCAAATAGGTCATTAGCGTAGACGGAGACAGTGAGACCTGTGGCACATGGTAGAGGCCAGGCAAGCACTGTGGCCTATTAAAGCGACCCTCAGGGATCATAATATTCCTTATAAATGGGGTTTCCCATTTGCCCTGCTGGCAAGACATCGAAACGGATGGGCCTCGATCCACTGGCTGGAAGAAGTGCCCAGATTCCTGGAGGAACTGGGGCTGCCATCTGTGCAGGTAGCAGATTGGATCCTGGGTGCCAGCGTGCAACATTCTTCTGCGCCTCCGAGGTGCGCATTGCGGGGCCGGGCGGTTATGACAGGTCAGTTGAAATGGGATGTTGGCCGCTACTCTACAGTACCTTATCACAATGCACTGGGGCCCCCAATCTATTCCCTGGGCTTCTCCCAGGGGTAATAATAAGGTCCCGGTGGGGGTAGGTGTCCTGTAATTTCTAGCAGGCCGTGACAAGGGTAAAATTTAACAGATAAGGGCACAGCAAAGTGTCACACAGCATTTGGGTGGGAATGTGAGGTTCCCTCAGGGAGAGGTAAAGAACACCACCCACTACCTGGATATCCTTTCAAAGGTGCCATATGTATATTGGGCTGAGACACCCCAGCCTGGAGGCCCTCAATGTGCAAAGCTGCAAGGCCTCCTATCCTGTGCCCCACCCCAAGATCATATTGGGATCCGCTCTGAGCAATGTCTGAGGAGTTCCCGATATAACTTCCCTAAGACAAGACATGGACACCTGTAACTATAATCTTTACTTTGGCACACAAAGCAGGGAACCAGATACACTGCAAAGCCTGCTCAAAAGTCGGCTTTACCACACTGAAGCCAGGAGGTCACCAAGTGGTAAGTGTTGTTCCGTTGCTATAAGAGTGCGCTATTGTGACTGAGGTGTCCCACAATAATAAGCAACATGATGACCTGGTAAGAGGACCCATGTGTAAAATGTATTGAGCTCTGCGGTATTGTCTAACATTGTCTTTCCGAGGGGGCGTGGCTTGGCAGCCGACGAACATGGCCGCTTAAACTTTCCCACCGCCCGGGTCCCGACTCTAAAACCGGAGCCTACCCGCTACCCTGCCGACATGGGGAGACCCAATAGGACCCCACAGCCAGGGAAGACCCCAGAGCCCAAAAAGGGACAACTCGCCTCGTCCCTGCGCCAGTTCCTGGTGACCCCCGCAGACCTTGCAACACAGCCGCATGGCGCCGACGGATCAATGGCGTCGGAGGAGTCCGCGCCTTCCTCACCGGCATCAGAAGTGCTCACGAGCGGCACACAGCGCCCCCCTTGGTTGGACCTCCTGAGAGCACTGCCCACCAAAGAGGATCTCCACTCAGCCACCTCAGCCCTGGGAGCTACAATCCAGCAGGACATCCAGTCACTGAGGGCTGACATGCAGGGCCTGTCAGGTTGCCTCCATGTGGCCCACGCGGTCTGTGACTGCAGCCTCAGCCTGAGGGAAGCACAGCATACATTAGCAGACACCTCCTCCGAACAGGTACGTGGCATGGCCCTACATATTGAGGACCTGGACAACAGGGGGCGCCACAATAACTTAAGACTGCGCGGCCTCCCTGAAACTGAGGACTCCCCCCAGCAGCTACAAGAAATCCTCCTGGAAATATTAAATGAGATCCTAGGCCGAGACCACCAGGCACCCATAGAATTTGTAAGAGCTCCTAGAGCCCTCCGTCCTAAGGGCGCGCCAGATAGCCCACCCAGGGATGTCATATACTGCCTAGCGAATTTTGCCTTAAAGGAGACTATCCTTAAACAAGCCCGAGGCCGGCAATCGCTCACCTACCGGAACCAAGACCTGCAACTCTTTCCAGATTTATCACCGGCTACCCTGACCTACCGACGCGCTCTGAAACCACTCACGAGGGTACTGGTGGCCCAACAGATCCCGTACAGATGGCAGATGCCCACGGGACTGCTCGTCCACACGCAGAGGGATCCATTCCTGGTCCGCACACACAGCAACTATATAGCACTGGGCATGGAGCTCCAACTGCCCGCCATCAACATGAGATAGCCTGACCCACTGGACATCTACACCGCCGCAAGAAACCCCTACCCAAGACCGGCACTGCCGCAACGCACTAGAGGGGGACGCCAGGAGGCCACTAGGCCCACAGGTACCGCCCGTTAGAGGGCATGACTTTCCCCCCTTCCCCCCCACAATGCGCCCAACACCAGCCTGGCCCTCTCTAGGGCACAAATAGCCCCGTTCCAGGACATAGATGCTGTGTCCAGATACGAACTTAGCCAACCTACCGATTGGACACCCCACATTGGCACCATGTCTCTCCGCTCCACAGAACTGCACCTTATGCCGGGCGGACAGTTGATGAGTCACACCTCACGTACACCCAGACATGGGAGCCCAGTCTGCCCCGATGGGGCGGGTCGGGGGATGTGGCCCATGGGACTGTGGTACATGGTAATGTCCGCCAATGTTGACAGTGCAGTAGGTGCTCCCAGCTGGCCAGTGTGTCTCTGTGTCTCTGTGGCACACGCGCCCATGCATGCTGCAACTGCCCACCGCTTATGTGCCAGCGCATGCTATAATTATCCGCGGCATGCATCTCACCCGCACGCACAGGTCACGACTAGCCCGCCCCCCGCTGCACACCACTGTTTCTGCGCCTGCCATCACTACAACTGCTCATCGCAGAGCGGGTACCATGGCATAACTGCCCACACACGCCACAATTGTCCACTGCATTACATTGCCCGCTGTAAACGTGTCGGCGCATGCTCACACTGCTCCCTGGCTGGTGTATAGCCCCATATGCACGCCCGCGCATGCTCAAACTGTCCATTGCATTGTATATAACATAACATGTTTTTCCTAGGAGCTGTTCTTAGGTCTTTCTATTCGTTGGGCTCCCTTTTGGACATGCCCCCTCTAGTACCCTCCCTTGCTTTATATCTGTATAATATGGTGTATGCGCCTGCTTATGTTAGACTTAGATGCACAATGGTTCATGTGGTGCAGTATACATGTGAATGTGTATATATTGTGTATCTATGTGTAGATCTGCCAGCACAGGCTAACACAGTGCTTCTTGGTACACGTCACCCTGCGCACACACCCGTACACGCCACTAGCACCATGGGACTGGATACAGCACGACGTAAGCCAGGCGTGGGACGTGCAGGAGCAATCACTCATACCACAGGTTCGGCGCACGCGCAAGTTCCCAGGGTCTAGGGGTTCGCATGCAACATTGGATAGGTGCCAGACCACGCTACACCTGGGTACAGTTCTATACGCAATTGGGTTGTGTACGTGGGTGCTCATACCATGAGACGTGCTGCAACCAGAGCGACACAACCCACCACCACACAGAAGGGGGAACCCACAAGGAGGTCCGTTAACCGGGACACAATTCGGGGGGACACAGGCTTTCCATACCACTTGTAGGGACGGAGAAACGCCACCACGGGGCTACACTGATGCACATGGTGGACCCCCCCACCTGCCCCAACCCGTTCCCCCTAACACCCTAAACACCTGCACAGTAGAAAGGGGGTTACGCCCTGGGTAGGCTAGTACATCTTCCCTTCAGACAGGACAACGTCGGGACCTGGGTGCAAGTCCCTGCAGACACACAACAGGTTACAGTTACAGCTGGTACTCGACCGTACCCTGGGAGACCTGCCCCGGGGGCGCGACAGCAGTTTTCACAGGTTTAAGTTACACCTGTTGGTGTTTGTTTTGATCCACAGCCGCCGCTGTTGGCGGGTTGACAAGGCACCTTCCACTCCCCGTGATGTCGGTGTCTACTGTATAGGGGGGGCCATCCCCCACTCCGGTCTCCGGGCCGGGGGATCTCTACCCCCCTAACACCGGTGCCTCTGCTCCATTGCGGTGGCGGCCCCCTTTGCACTCCACCGTGCGGAGACATCCGTGCCCCCGCTCTGCCCCGCTTGCCCCCGGGCCAGGCTCAACCTACCTAGGCGCCCACTGACTGGGGCGACTTCGACACCCACGGGACTTGACATTATGGCTAAACCTGCACCCAAATACGCACCAGCCCCACTCAACTTCTTATCCCTAAACGCTAAGGGCTTAAACTCACCTGAAAAGAGGTCACACGCGCTACGCCTCGGTCAGAAAACTAGGGCCCATGTGGTCTACCTCAAAGAAACCCACTTTATATGGTTGCAGAGTTTCGGAGCAGCGTTGGTTTTATACACCCAAGGCTTCTACAGCAATAACCCAGATGGGAAATCTAGGGGGATAGCAATACTCCTACACAAATCCATACCCTTTGTAGCTGACTTGACCATGACTGATAACTTGGGCAGATATAGGTTTCATCTAGGATTTTACCCCTAACGAATACGTACCTTTGCCAACATCTACGCCCCAAACACACGACAGGACAGATTCCTCCGGGACACACTCCGGGCCCTCCGTGACTTCACGACGGGCTGTCTGGTCCTGGGTGGGGACTTCAACATTGCTCTACACCCGACAATGGACGCATCCAGGGGCCATTCATCGACACCCCCCCCCCACACTGCTTAAAATTCGTAAACTTCTCACACCCGACAATCTGTAAGCCTGTACTGGTGGTCGCCCTCCACCAGCTAGGGACTACACCTTCTACTCGACCCCAAATGACTGGGTAGATAGTAGTATGTTACACACGCATCGACTACTTTTTTCTGCCAGACTGCGGGACTCTGCCATAGGGGAGTCCATGTGGTCCGACGACGCACCACTCACGATCCAACTCACATCACCACTGACACAAACCCAAAACCACGACATGGCAGCTCCACGAAAACCTCCTATCCAACCCGCAGGTGGCCCAAGACGTACAACAAGCCCTGACGAACTACTTCACCGAGAACTTACCACAGGACACATCCCCCCTCTTGACATGAGAATCCCTCTCATCACACACTTGTGAGCCTCCCATCTCACACTCCTCTGCCCTGAAGAAGGCACGGGACCACATGATCCGAGAACTAACGGCCAAGATAGGGACCCTAACACAGGCCCACAAGCAAACACTAGACGACACACTTCTCAGGAAACTCACAGCAGCCCGTGAAGAACTAGCACGGACCCTGCGGCAATCGTACACTAGGGCCCTCCAACGCACTAAATCATTCTTCTACACAGAAGGGGATAAGTGCGGCAGGTTGCTGGCCAGAATGATCAACAAAAAACGCTCCATGACATATATTGCACGCATGCGCAATGCCGCAGGCCAACTACACCACATGCCAGATCAAATCGCCACAGCTGTAACCCGCTTCTACACGGACCTTTACGCGATTCCCCCCCACGCCCCTCGGGCGGACCCTAACGTGGGAACGACCCGCATGAACGCATACCTCACTAAATACACTAAACTCTCCTCAGATGCAGCAGAGGCTTTGGTTTTAGAGGCGCCCCTGACAGAGGGGGAACTGGCCCTAGCCATCAAATCCTCAACGGCCTCCCTCTCAAATACTATAAAACCTTCCTGGCCACATTGTCCCCTCAATTTATCTCGGCCTTCAACGCTGCTGGGGGATAGTATTTCCCTCTGGCAGCAGGACAATATTGGCCACTAGTGTTTATAACAAAGGAGGGGGGAGATACCGAACGGTGCACGGGCTACCGACCGATATCGTTGCTTAACTGCGACCTACGCCTATTCGCTAAAATACTAGCTACAAGGTTGAATCCACACATACCAGACTTAATCTCACCTGACCAAGTGGGATTCGTCCCCCACAGGGAAGCCCGGGACAATACGGTCCGGGCCCTCTCCCTGATCCACCACGCACAGAGCTCCTCGGAGAGCCTTCTCCTCCTCTCTACGGACGCGGAGAAGGCCTTCGATAGGGTGGCGTGGGACTACCTGTTCTCGGTACTGGAGCATGTTGGCCTGGGGACCCACATGCGCCAGCGGATAGAGGCCCTCTACTCGTCCCCCACGGCCAGGGTGTGCATAAATGGGGTCTATACAGACACATTCCCGGTCAGGAATGGAACCAGGCAGGGCTGCCCTCTGTCGCCGCTTCTGTTTATCCTGGCCCTGGAGCCCTTCCTACAAGCGGTAAGGGACAACCCAGATATCTCTGGGGGGGCGGTGGAGGCAGACCACCACAAAATTGCAGCATATGCAGACGATATGCTATTTTTTATAACGAACCCAGAAATCTAACTCTGCCATGAGGTTTGGGAGGGAAAGACATACGGCGAAATCGCCAACCTTAAGATTAATTACGCCAAATCCTCTATACTTAACATTGGCTTCCCCCGGAAGAGGGCAGACCAAATCCGACGAAATTTTCCCTTCCAATGGCAAGACACCGCTATAACATTCTTGGGGGTGAAGCTCACGGCCAACCTATCCAAACTTTACCATATGAACTTCACCCCACTGATGGCAACATTACGGAAGAACCTGACAGAATGGGCCACACCTCACTTCTCCTGGCTTGGCAGGGTGGCCATTGCCAAAATGAACATCCTCCCACAGGTACTTTAGGTTTGCACCCTCCTCATTAAATTTATCTGGAAGGGTACTAGAGTGCGGAGAAGGTGGTGGTAGGGAGTTGGAGTGGTAGTGTCTGGAATAAGTAGACTCAAGTACACACAACTCACACTCCCCAAAACAGCAGGAGGCCTGGCCGTTCCTGATTTCAAACTGTATTACCAAGCATGTTACATGCAACAGGCCATGGAATGGGCAAAAGAGGGGATTAGCAAACCCTGGAAGGCTATCGAAACACACCACGCAGGCAGGCCCCTTTCAGCCCTCCTGTGGCTGGACCCACTGATTGGCAGGTGGCTAGTCCACCAACAGCCCTTCATCACCGCCACCCTAACCGTATGGCACTCACAGGCGAGGAAACTACGCCTCTCCTCCTTCCCATCCCCGCTACTGCCTCTGGCGTACAATCCGGAGTTTGGGTATGGTTTGAGGGAGGACGCAGCGGAGGCTCCCCGGTCTTACCCCCGGTTCAGACTCCGAGACATGACCACCAATGGGAAAATCGTGTCCCTACAGTCGCTCACGGGCACACCCACCCAGCCCTTCATGACGAAATTTAGATACACCCAAATTAAGAACTACATTACTGCTATACCACAACATCCCGACGTATATAGGGACCTTACGCCATTCGAACAGCTGTGCCAGGACCCGGAGCCCATGCCCCATAGCATTTCCTACCTCTACTCCATGCTACGACGACAACAGGGACACCCCCCACCCCCCTTCATGTCCAAATGGGAGACTGCCGTGGGGGAAACTTGTGCCACTGGGTCGCGGTAAATGATTTGCGATCTAGTGCACCATTGCACAATCGCTAGCAAAACCCAGGAAACTGCCTACAAGGTTCTCACACAATGGTACCTGACCCCAGAACGCTTACAGAGAATGCACTTGGACGTGGATGGCCTCTGCTGGAGGTGCAAGAGAGGGGTGGGATCCTTTCTTCACATATGGTGGGAATGCCCACTCATAGTACCGTTCTGGGAGCAAATAGCTGCCATGGTGGCCATGTTCACGGACAATGTCCCACCCTTCTGGCCCGCCCCGTACCTCCTACACCACACGACAACCCCCACATCACACTACAAACGCTCCCTGACCATCCGAATCCTTAACGTCGCAAAACACCTCATACCTTTGTTGGGGTTGTGTCTTTTTTCCAGTACACTCTCCCTGTGGTTTACCAGAATGGAGTAGTTACGAGTCACAGAGGAGATCTGGTATTCAGCCCAAGACCGAACGCAGACATACTTAGACACATGGACACCCTGGTTGGCACGGGTGGGTACAGAGGCATTTTGGACTATGCAATTGACCATGGGGGAAGGAACCGATAATCCCCAGGAGGAGACGCTGGGAGACTAGCGGGACGACCCACACCTGGCCCAAAACGCGATACCTCATCCCCGCCCCCTGTCAGAACGGGGTGGAGCGCGGGTTCGGGGGACCCGGGGGCGTGCAGGGAGGGCTACGACACCCGCTAGGGTGCGACCACTTGCGGGGCCCGGGACGGCCTGCGGCCTCGCGAGTAAAGGGGGTGGAAGAGCGCCTGTTTTGTGAGCTATAAAGCTCATTAGTATGGAGGGAGTCGCAGGATGCCCCTTAGGTTATTCCCATCAACACCTCCTATACCACTGGGCAGAACCAAATCATACTAAGGCAAGGGGCCAACAACCCACATTATTGCCAGGTAGGACCCTGGACACAAGGTCACTGGGGGGCTGCGCGTCCTGAAGGGACTCCACACACCAGATGGCCACATGTCTCACTACTGCCTAGAGGCTACAGGGTAGGCATGGGGAATAGACAAACAAAACACAACAACGGTGGGGCATGCAAAACCACCCAACGTAGAAATGGTACATATCAAATATAACAGAATACTAAGCACCACCATGTAACACCGGACCTGCGAGTCCACAATACACATGCTATTTTACTCAAGAAAGCGACCTGCGAGTCGCCCAGACACGTATGTCATCACATGCCTTCCAATGTATAAGCTTCTGTGAATGACCAGAGGGACCTGCGAGTCCACGTTTCTCTTTGACATGTTGCAAAATCAACAAAAATGAAAGGTTAAATAAAAAGATATTTAAAAATAAAAATAAAAACACATTGTCTTTCCCCTTACAGTTATTGCAACAGTTCCCATTTGCCCTTAGTGGTTCTGCATCCAGATAGATTGTTTTGTGGGAACGTATGTTGTGTGATGAGTGTGGGGGTCCCTCTATCTAAATGAAGGAATGCATGGAATAGAAAGGAGTGGGGAGAGGACAAGGCAGTGAAGTAGGGAGGATGGAAGAAGGAATGGCCATGCAGAATCTGACATACATGTACACCCTACCCCCTCAGCCCCCCCCCATGGAAACAAAATAATTCAAGATTCAAGAGACACATGGAATAATGAGGGGGAAAAGCACGCACCAGGTGATGGGGTGGCAATGGCTCACTCATAGGCTCAAGTCAGGTTTGGTGCACAGGTATAAGTTTTAAATAATTGGTGCCCTAAGGTGTAATTAGTTTGGTATAGTAGGTCAGTGTGTGATAGGTCTTGAGGCTGGAGGGATAGCCACATAGTAACATGATCACTAATCAGAAGATGGAAAAGAATGGGGGCAGCGGAGGCGAAAGGTCCGGGGGAACCTAGCTCCATGATGTTTTAATATTGTTAAACATTAATAACTTTAATATAATATTTGTTATTGACGTACAACATCAGGTAAGACCACATCGGCTACACTGTTGTTCGTACCACTGACCACACTAGGGTGGGGATCTGCTTGGAGCAGAACAGACTGGACTTAACCAAATATGAAACATGTTCCCTATCCTAATCCCGGTTTAGACCTCGATCACAGTTCCCTATATACACTTGTGCACAACTCTCAGCAGAGCCACAGGCACATCCATACACCACTCTGGTTATTGGTGCGACAGCTGGCCACTCCTGCTGTGACGCAAGTGCCCCTCCTCTCCTG